CCTTCACCTCGTGCCTGCTTGCCATGTGTTCGAGTCAACCTTCAAGAATCAAGCCTCAACGGCCCTTGAAGAAGCTTCCAGCCAAATTTAAGATCAAGCCTCGACGGTCCTTGAGGAAATCACAAGTCCGATTCAAGATCAAGTGTCTACCACCCTTGAATTAAGCCCAGTTCAAGAATAAGCTGTGGAAAGTCAACAATTGGAGGAAACCAGAAAATCCTCCAATCGAGTTCAAGAATAAGCTGTGGAAAGTAAACAATTGGAGGAATCCAGAAAATCCTTCAACCCAGTTCAAGATCAAAGCTGTGGAAAGACAACAAGAGCAACAAAATATGCGTCGATTCATCCATTACCAAAGCCAAAGATCATCTACCACATGAAGCTCCTTGTGGTCCAATTTCAACCTTCAAGATCAAGCCTCGATGGCCCTTGAAGAAATTTCAAACAAAGTTCAAGAACAAGCCTCAACGGCCCTTGAAGAAGCTTTCAGCCCAATTCAAGATCAAGCCTCGACGACCCTTGAAGAAATCACAAGTACAATTCAAAATCAAGTGTCCATCACCATTAAATCAAATCCAGCTCCACATAAAAAAAAAGTAAGTTTAGACCTTCGGAGGAAACTAGAAAATCCTCCAACCCAGTTCAAGAATAAGTTGTGGAAAGTCAACAATCGGAGGAAGCCAGAAAATCCTCCAACCTAGTTCAAGAATAAGCCTGTGGAAAGTCAACAATTGGAAGAAACTAGAAAATCTTCTAACCCAGTTCAAGATCAAAGCTGTGTAAAGTCAACAAGCGCAACAAAATATGTGCCGATTCATCCACTACCAAAGCCAAAGATCATCTACCATGTGAAGCTCCTTGTGGTCCAATTTCAACCTTCAAGATTAAGCCTCGACGACCCTTGAAGAAATTTCAAACAAAGTTCAAGAACAAGCCTCACTAGCCCTTGAAGAAATCTCCAGCCCAATTCAAGATCAAGCCTCGATGGCCCTTGGATCGACATCTACATTAAGGGACTTCAAAACGCATCTCCTACACGCGACAAGCACATGTATACAATGCGCCTTGAAGTGGGGGCATTTGTAGACATCGAAATTTCGGTAAAATAAATGTTGACCAATTCAAGATCAAGCCCCAAAGGCCCTTGAAGATCCGTTCATCAACAGTTCTTCGAGATCAAGCCCAAAAGCCTTGAAGATCCGTTCATCCATCAACCTTTAAGATCAAGCCCAAAGGCCCTTGAAGAAACTTCCCTCAACCTTCAAGATTAAGCCCCAACGGCTTTTGAAGAAAACTTTTAACCGTTCATCCAAGATCAAGTCTTGACGGCCCTTGGATCAATCACACATCCACAAATCAACACCTTACGGAGATCAAATCAGAGGATCAAATTTGAGAGAGATTGTAACCCTAAAATCATTAATACAAAATATTATTTTGTACACGTGTTCTTGTCTCGTTTGTTTCAGGAATTTCTGTGTTTACAATAACAATATATAACTTTTACAACAGAAGATAATAAGAAGAATGTAGGGTAGCATAAAGAAAGAGAGGAGAACGTAGGGTCTTAATAAAAGTTCGTTTGACAATGCTTATGCAGGAAACGATTTTCATGTGCATTCAACAACAGTTTCGTAAGTAGCATTAAATTTTAAGGAAAACTAATGAAAAGGGCTTGAAAACTTTGTGTTTTAATGATAAGGACAAAATAAAGGGTAAAGTGAATAGTATCATGATTGACTTTTCAGTGTAAAAATATGGTTTTTCGTTAAAGTGAACAGTACCGGGAGCTTTTCGTTAAAGTTCCCTAAATTTTATTGATTCAAACTCCGAATGCTTCTAAGCTGGATCAACTCTCGTAAATGTGCTTCCAAAATCCTATCGTGACGTGGATGATCCGCCAAATCCATTGCTGACTTCACCACGATCGATTAGGTGACTTCACCACTTTCGTACTGCAGGATTTTATTTCTCTACACTCTTAATTAGAATCTAAAAGAAATTTTAAAAGTCTATGCCGTACATTTAAATGCTTACATTTGTCTCAACGATTATTTTTAATTGATTTTGAGTTGAATGCAATCTAATACTAATTCGCACACTACAAATAGTCAATGCCATTTTCTTAAAAATACGCAAGGAGAAGTAGCACAATAAACATTTTTTTAACAAGCTGAAATTACGGCGATTTTCTTCTAGGGATCTTTATAAACATATAGTCATGTTCAATCCAGTCCATGCATTCATTGTCTTGTTGGCTGTCCAAAAGATTTGTGTGAATGATATTTGTGAAAATTTGCTCTTGAGGTAAATGATGTCTTCAATAGTAGACTTAATTTTCCAAAGAAGTTATGCCTTACCATTGAAAAGGACTGTTGTTGGTCTCAAAATCCGTCTTGGCCACGAATTGAGGATTTGAAGATCTCTTGGCCGCTTCTAGTTCGTGTTGTGGGCGTGCCAACTCGCAGCTTGGGGGCCGATCGAGTAAAAAGTGATTTGGGCTTTGTCTAACTTTTTCAAAATGACTGTGATTGAAAAAAGAACGTGTCTCGATTGTAGGCTCTCTGTCTTTCGTATTATGTGCAAGGACTTGAAAGGCGTAATTAATCTTTGACTATGGGTCTTGTGACGGGATGGGTGAATTCATATGTTCTTGTGATGGGCAAGTGATGTGGTTTTTACTACCTACAAAAAAGGGTTAAAAACACTTAAAAATTACTTGCAAGAAAAAAAAGTTATTGTAGTATAAACGGTTCAAGTAAGGTCGTTCTTGACAAAGATTAATATGAATAATTTGTATTTAAAACCAACTCTTAATTAACTATTCAACACAAGAATTTGAAAAGATTTGAAATTGTGAATTTTAAGTAATAAGCCTTTCTCAGTTTCAAGGTGATATTCCATCAGAAATTGCATCAAATTAATTGTTTAAGGTCTGGTTTGGTACTGAGGTGATTCTAAAAAAAGCTGGTATAAAAAAGCTGGGAGTTGTTTTTGTGTTTGGTAAACATTCAACTTCAGCTTTTTTTCATAGTTTTGGGTGAAAAAAGCCAAAAACAAGAAGTTGCAAAACCCAGCTTTGAAAAACCGGCTTTTTTCATATCTATTTTACATAAAAGTTTACCAAACACTATAATATTGCTTTTTTTTTTCAAAAACACTTTTACAAAAAAGTTTATCAAACACTCTGCTGCTTTATTTCTGCTTATTCTCACAGCACAGCAGAAACATTTTTTTTTCAAAGCACAATAATACCAAACCAACCATAAATATCCTAATGGTAGCTATACATTAAGACATGTAGATAGTTTAAACATAGTGATTAATAATTCAAAGGAAGCATGCATAATTTCATAAGTACATTGACAATGAACTACTTATTCATGCTACGGCTCATGGCCTCACCCTAGTAAAAAAAAATTAGTTATCCATAATCATAATTGAAAATCAAAATATTATTAAGTAGAAAAATTAGAAAACACAGTTGTAGTAAAGTCGAAAATCACCAAAAGTTCCTCAGCTGAATTCTCTAAGACAAAACGTTGTCCCCTTTAAGGGCTCCAAAATCAACATGTAAATAAACCTAGAAATCTGAGGCCTACATAAAATAAGTCTCCCAACAAATCTGGAATCCCAATTGAAATACTAGGAAACACAATTCCAATTGAAATACTAGGAAACACAATCATATTCTAACTTGGACAATCTCGACTTGAACATGCCCTCACTCGACTTAAACGAGGGATGACAAATCTAGGTCCAAATATTGCCCCTAGTCTCATGAGCCTCAGCCTAGACGTCGAGTGGTTGTGAGAATAAAAATATCTCATGTTTGGATGTTGGATTGAACACCGCTCCGCCAAAGGGTGAGTTCATCCAAGCGCATGAATATATGATCAAAAACCTGTGAATCTCCTTCTACCTGAGCACAATTGATACGCAGTCCGACTGGGAGAGTCGTAATGCTCAGAGAAGCCGTTGTTATAAACTTGCGGCTTCTACTTACACGTAAGAGAACATCTCTGTAGCTATAGTCTGACCGTACATATTCTTTCCAAAACTTATCTTTAATGCCTTTTAGTGGTGGAACGTGATGCAGTGATACCCAAATGGCACCCAAGCCGTATAGCTCATCATGACCCCACTCACACGTGTGCTAAATGTTTCATACGTGTGACAATCAGATACCGTATAGGCTTTACAAACTACAAGGCTTATTTTTAGTTGTGTCCGTGAAACTTTATTTTAATTTTATTTGCCTAATGTAACTCAACAGTCATAACTTTACTTTTTGAAACTCAAAATTTGTTCCATTTTGACTTGTGGACTCTCTCTTCGCCCTAAAACTTATAGGCCACTTCCTTAAACATATGTGAGACCCAATACCCAATAAGATTATGTCCAATAAAGTTGATTATAAATCTTCATTATGCGTTAACATTCAAGAGATTATTCAGTTTAAAAGAAATTGAAGAGTGAAGTGAATTTTGAGTTTTATAAAGACGATTTTTAAGTTTCTGGGAGCAAAATGGAATCAAAATTGAATTTCAGAGGCAAAGTGAAACGAACCTTGAGTTTCAAAAAATAAAATAACGACTTTTAAGTTACATGGAGTAATGTAAGATTAAAATCGAGTTCTAGCTAAAAAAACCCAAACTATAATTTTGTTCTTCATGGGTTAAACTTACAGAGCTAGATTTGCCCCTTGCCCTTTGCCCTTTTGCCTTTTTGCCCTTTGCGAATCAAACATCCACAAGCAAAGCCAAAAGTAGGAGAAGACCAAAAAGGGCTTCTGGACTCCATAGCCATCACACCTTGACCATCCGGATACATTGGATTCATGGGTATATACAATACGTATGGTCACGCGGGAACAATTTCTCAGCCATATTTTTGACACGTGGACAAATTGGGCCCCGCATGAGTTTTTAGCACCACATCCTAGATGTTCTTTTTAACTCGTATAAATGCTGATTCCACAATCCTTAGTCTGACCATGCAACCTACACATATATGAACTCCAAAGGTAAGGACATGGAAGAGAAGGAAGCCAGAGAAATTCGATACCGGGGTGTGCGGAGGCGGCCATGGGGCAAGTATGCAGCGGAGATTCGTGACACAAATAGGCACAGCGCTCGTGTTTGGCTTGGGACTTTTAGCACAGCTGAAGAGGCAGCTAGAGCATATGACAGAGCGGCTTATGCCATGAGGGGTGGCTTAGCCATTTTGAACTTTCCTAATGAGTACCCTTCGGCAAGTGGCGGTTCTTCATCGGCATCGGCTAATTTTTTATCTTCTTCGTCTGCAATGCCTGGGACTATGCAGGGGCGAGCTGGTGGTGAGCAAAATGAAGTTCTTGTGTTAGAGTATTTGGATGATAAGTTGCTAGAGGAACTGCTTGATTGTGATCACCAAAAGAAGAACCAAAAATAATGAGATTGATTATTATCTCTATCTTAATAAGCAGTTACCCACATCACGTCAATATGATGCTTCTTATCTTTTTGGTTGATATAAGTAGATTCTGATCATCAACTTTTGCATGCATTTACTTGTCAATGAATAATAAAATAAGTCGGTAAGCCTTTCAAGATATGGTGATTTTCTACGTACCAAAGTATATCATCTACTTACGGCTAGGGTTGTTTGTCCCTTCCTCGTTGTATCGATTCTCTTCTATAAATAAATTTGCCTCTTTCTGTCCATGATATTGTGCGATGCACAATTATATAACTGACATGACTCATTAGCAAGAGTACATTTGAAAATAATTCTGTAGAAAGTGGTGCATACAAATGTAAGTGAACAACCTAATCGGCTCCTTAATTTGCTCATTAATCGCAGACCCAAGCTAAGCAAGACATGTAAAAACACGCTAATATATTTGTAGGTAAACAAGCTATTCTGCTCCTTTCCAACGTGTGATTAATTAGATTTTTTATTCTGGACATTCAGATATTCATCATGTTAGGGTTACACTAATATATGCATGTTATAATGTTATCAGCACAAATGAATGTACTTTTCATTTTGTATTTTGTATAATTCATAAAACTCTATTTAACTCGAAAATCAACTTTGATCTAAAAAGCATCTCATATGCGGATTACAATTTAGTCCCCTTAAAACAATTAATATGAAAGGTGTCTACCTTTAATCTCCTAATAATATGGGACTTGGAAACTACACATTTCTTTTCATCGCTGTAATCACTTAATAATAATATGCAGGGTGTAACTTAAGTCTCACCATTCTCTAATATGCAGAAGGAATGTAGCTGTTTCATAAAAAAAGAAAAGAAAAGAAAAGAAAGCATATAGCTGTTCTTAGCAGTTTTGAAAAATTCTGCAAAGTGTATGTACAAATATAAGGAAAAAATATGCCCGGGAGAATTGTATAATGAATTAACTGTTACGGTATGTTTAGATGGGGGACTTCTATTAATCTCAAGCGGTTAAGTCCAAGTTCATTAGGAATGAATAATAAAATGTGATAGGGGTTTGCAAATGTCACCTTCAAAATAGGAAATTTGTTAATCTCCCTCGCAGAGAGGGGGAGGGGGGGGGGGGTTAAATACATATCAATTTATGAAATACATCATTCATGGTAACATACATTATCTAAGTCGGTGGATGATAACACCCATAGCCTTTCTGACTCGCGGCATAACCAATGAAGGCAAATTGGAGAGCACAATATTTAAGCTATGTGGATTGAGATGAACAAACTCCGTACAACCAAACACATATGGAGGGATTGGTTGTTGCTGGCGCTTGAACATGGTCCATCAGTGCTTGTAGAGGAGTCCGAAAATTCAGAGTAGTCGAGGGAACTCTGCTGATTAAAAGTGTATAGTGGAAAGAGCTTCGCCCCAATACGTGAGTGGCGCATGACTTTCCAATACAGAAGCCCGAACTACCTCAAGGAGATGACGGTTTTTTTTTGAAATGTTGAGGGACAAGTGGTTTGATCAACAATTCCACAATTAGCTATTAAATATTTCTTCCAATTCGGCACCCATGTATTTGCCCCCATTATCACTTTGGAGCACTTTAACTTGTGCATTGTATTGATTCATGGCCATCTTGTGGAATTTGTAAAACAACTCATACACTTCACCTTTGGTTCTCGCAAGACAAACCCAAGTCATGTGGGTATAGTCATCAATAGATGTAACAAACCCTCCCAAAGTGGTACATTTAAAAGAACCCCAAACATCTGAATGAATAATCATGAATGAAACATAACTTTTATTCAAACTTGATGGATAAGAAGTACGGTGGCTTCTCACCAGTTCACAAATCCTACAATAGAAACTAGAAACATCAAATTTTGAAAATAAACTTGGAAACAACTTCTTCAAATATCCAAATGAAACATGCCCCAGATGATGATGCAATAGCCAAATCTCTGATTGTCTCTTCTTCCCCTTGGATTCATCTACAGACAGAGCTTGAGTCAACCATCTTTAAGTGTTCAACACTAGTCCAGGTAATACAGCTACCCACACCTAACTGCATGCCCAATCGTCTTGTGAGTCTGAATATCCTTAAACACAACAAACAATCACAATACAATATAAGGCAAGGATTATTTGAGCAATAGATAGCAAATTGTGATTGAGAGATAGGGCTACGAGGTCATAGTCCAAGCTGCAAATTGAGGGTATCAACAAGAGTAATGGAACCCTCATCAGTAGGCAGTAACAGGAGTGGGAGTCCCATTTGCAACCGACACATTGGTTTTAGTAGATGGTTCTAATAGGTGAACCTGTCTATAATCACATGTCATATGACATGTGGCTCCATAATCAATTATCCAAGTACTACTCGAAACAAATGCAAAATCTTTAGAACCATTCCCGACATTTCATGTTGTAGTTACTAAAACATATGCTTGATTGTTCTTGGGATTCTTCAGCAACACCAGCAACGACAATTGATTTATGATTGGAATTTTGTTTTTGTGGATCCCTACTATGATCCCACCACTTTGGAAAGCCCATAATTTCTAAACAGCAAGCCTTCGAGTGACCAGGTTGACTATACTACTCACAAACCCCATTAGAAGGAGGACGTGTTCGTGACGGGAATTTCCGTGGGGAATGCTTCCTGGCCGACGAACACATAGCTCCCCGAGAGGTTGGTGCCGGTTGATGCTTTCTGTCGGGCTTCTGCTTTACTAGCGGGCTTGTCGGGCAAGGCTTGTCGGGCCAGGCTGAAAGAGAAGGACATAGTTAACTTTGAAAGGTGCCTTTGTGAAGCCTTTGGTGTAGGCCTTGAGGCTCACGATCAAGATTAACTTTGAATTGCTCAGGCGTGCCACTACCATCTTCAGCATGGTAGATGTAGAACAGATGTTTGAGTTTTAATTATATATATTCGAGAGACTATGTTAGTTATTAACAGGTGCCTTTGTGGGGCCTTAGGTGTAGGCCTTGAGGCTTCCCATAAATAACTAACTTAGTACTCAAACACATAAGGTTCCTTTTGTGGGTTATATGGGTCTTATAACCATCATACTTATGATTACGTGAGCTCAAAGAGCAGAATGAATCCAAATAGGTGCCTTTGTGGGGCCTTGAATAGGCCTTGAGGCTTCCCATCAGAACCCCTTTTGTACTCAATGTTCTTGCCCGAGAAATATGATGAATCCAAATAGGTGCCTTTGTGGGGCCTTGAATAGGCCTTGAGGCTTCCCATCAGAACCCCTTTTGTACTCAATGTTCTTGCCCGAGAAATAAGATGAATCCAAATAGGTGCCTTTGTGGGGCCTTGAATAGGCCTTGAGGCTTCCCATCAGAATTTATCCCGTACTCGAATATTCTTACCCGAGAAATATGATGAATCCAAATAGGTGCCTTTGTGGGTTATATGGGTCTTATAACCATCATACTTCTGATTACCTGAGCTCAAAGAGCATAATGAATCCAAATAGGTGCCTTTGTGGGGCCTTGAATAGGCCTTGAGGCTTCCCATCAGAATTTATCCTGTACTCGAACGTTCTTGCCCGAGAAATAGGATGAATCCAAATAGATGCCTTTGTGGGGCCTTGAATAGGCCTTGAGGCTTCCCATCAGAATTTATCCCGTACTCGAATATTCTTGCCCGAGAAATAGGATGAATCCAAATAGGTGCCTTTGTGGGTTATATGGGTCTTATAACCATCATACTTCTGATTACCTGAGCTCAAAGAGCAGAATGAATCCAAATAGGTGCCTTTGTGGGGCCTTGAATAGGCCTTGAGGCTTCCCATCAGAATTTATCCTGTACTCGAACGTTCTTGCCCGAGAAATAGGATGAATCCAAATAGATGCCTTTGTGGGGCCTTGAATAGGCCTTGAGGCTTCCCATCAGAATTCATCCCGTACTCGAACGTTATATGGTCATCATAATATAACAGAAATAAAACTAAGTGGCAGGTCGATTACTTACGCCCCAAGTAACTTCGGACTTCTTGTTTATCAAAGCTTGTCGTGGATGGGTTAAGTCCACATCAGGTTCTTTTTTATGCCTTGAGGCCAAGGACTTTTTAGGGTGATCAAATCTTATATGCCCGAGGGCTTAGAACTTAGATCTGGCTTGAACTGTGAAGACATATTCAAATCGGATTCAAGCGCTGAGAGAGTTTTTTAATAGCCATATTACTAGAAATAACTTGGATACAACTTGAAGTATACAACATATTGCTAGGCTAATGAATGAAAAGACAAAGATAAAAAAGGTCGGGCAAGGCTGATCGTCTTGCAACTTCCTATCTTTGTGGTTTAACAGAAGGTTTGAAGGCTTAGAAAAAGGGTTGGGAAATGAGTTTGCATAAAGAAAATCGATACTACAGCAGGCGTTGAACAGGGTAGCAGAGCGATTACAAAGGGTTTGTCCCGAAAGGGATGAAGGCTTGGGTTGACTACAGCTTTGTTTTGAAGGCAAATCTGGCTTTGAGCAGAGTTTGTGCTTTTGTTTGTTTGTTTGAGTGTCCTTGATTCTGACTTCTCTTTCTTCTTTTATAGCCACCTTGGCTTGCCCTCCTGTAGCAATAATCTAGCCCGAATGCAGTTTGAAGGATAGTGACTCATCAGCTATTTACTTGTACTGCCATCATAAAGTACTTTTGGGTTGATTAGCTGGCTGGTCTATACCACTTGGCCCTTGGGTAGGTGAGCAAGTGGTGCAAATGATCTGCACCTAGTCGGGAAAGACCCTTTCTGCTTTCTAGGTCTGGGCTGAGCTTCGGGCTTTTCCTTCTCTTTTTGGGCCAACTCCCTTCTAAGCCCAAAGTTTAAGTTTCAACCCAAAAGTGCCCCATTCAATCAATATTCAGACTTGGAATTCCAGGCGCCAATATTGATTGAATAGGTCTCTATTAGTACCCACGTCTTTCATCCTCGGGATTTGCACACTTTTCAAAAGTAATCACCGCCTTTCTTCGATTAATCCTATCACTTCCGAATCTCCTGCATTCTTCTTATTTCCGTAATCGAAAACTTCCTAACCCTTCAGTCGTTTCTTCCTTGTCGTTTCATTTCCAAACTTCATCAAATGGCTTCAGGATCCAGCCAAATCCACCTCTCATATGAATCTGGCGAAGGTATCGCCACCTTGCGCCGTTTACTCAACGGCCTGCATCGCCCTCGAGCAGGTTTGTTTTATGAGCTTTTCTTTGAAGTACATGGAGTACAATCGTTGGGTTTTGCATGGATTTCTCGGGTCCCTGCAGTGATAGAGGATAATATGCCCAAGGATAACTGGTTTTCTCCAAATCCCTATTTGGCTAAGTTAGGCATTTCCTCATCTAAGTGGTCGTCATATCGCCGGGGTTTTCCATTGATGAATGATCCGGCTTGGGCCCAATGGATTGATGAACTAGAGCCAATATTTAAGAAGAAATGGATGAATAATGGCATTTATGAGTTGATAATGCTCTAAAAAACCACCATTATTCCCAAGCCTGAACTACTTGCTTCCTCTCTTCTTTTCTGGAATTCGGGCACCAATACTTTTGACTTTCGCATGGGTCCCATGTCTCCGACTATTCTTGATATGGCTCAAGTTTTTGGGCTAAGGCCGTCGGGCAGGATAGTAGACGTTACTTAAGACTAGGCTCTCCCCTTAATTGCTGAAAGCTCAGGTTCATCCACATCTTTCCTCTCCTTAGAATATAACTTTGCAACCTTTAAGAGTTACGGGACCTCGTTCAAGGGATTCATCCCTTTTGTAAAAGAAAACTTTGGAGAAGGTTCTTCCCGTGCTGATAGAGATCAAGAGCATATGTATTTCCTTTTATACTGGCTCAACAAACATATCTTCCCCAACAAATTTAAAAGGGTAAAGGTTGAATGGATCCCCTTGGTGGAGGCCCTTCATAACTTCAATGATGTGGCAACAGGTTCATTCCTTCTTTCTCATCTTTACCACCTTATCTTCGAAATAACTCAAGGTGATCCATTTGAGACTAACCTGAATGGACCCATATGGATGATACAAACATGGCTCCCATGGTATTTTCCAGAGTTTCGGGCTGCCAACTTAGAGTTTCCGGAAGGTGTAGCCCCTGCACGAATCCTAGCTGACGCTGCTCTACTGATCACTCCACCTTTGCCTGCTTTTATTTCTTCAAGGTTTGTAGGACTCGATCAGACCTGGAATGAGGTGCATCAGTCTTGAGAAGATATCCTTGGTTCTCCGATCAGGCCTTTCAAGATGCTCCTGGGGAAGATGCCACATCTTCTTGTAGGGAAAAATTTATTAGTTTCATCCAATCAAGAGATATGGCTTGGGGAGTCCGGGGTAATCGATACGATTGAGGGTTGGAGGTGTATCACCCTAACTTTTGCAGCAGGCAATTAGGTTTTAGGCAAACCATCCCCATCCTGTTTTTTGACTCTGTTCATTATAGCACTTCTTTTCGTTTAGTATCTCTCTCTGAAACGACTTTTAGAGATGCCCGACGTAGTCTTGAAGTCATGAGTCAAGCTGCCCGAAAGTCCATCATCCTTAATTTTGAATGCACTTCACTCTTCTCTTCTTGGTGGGAAGACAAATGGACCAAGAAATATGGAGGAGACTTGAGGGAGACTCATGATCGCCTGTTCGGTCAACTTTCTCTTAAATCATACCTTAGCTCAGGCGAACTTGAAAATTGGAAGGAGATGATTCAAGAGAAGAATCGGGTTCTTCTGATAGGTATCATTTTCTTATCTTGATTCCATAATCCTTATCTTAAACCCTTTTAACTTTTTCCTTTCTTAACCCTGCATCCCAAGTGGATGTTGAATCAGTACCTACTGAATCCGAGGATGACTCAGCTGATGCAGCAGTTCTTCATGGAGCTGAGGTAGAGGCTGAGAGGCGAGAAGCTGGAGAAAGTGGGGACGTTTCAGAAGATTCAGGAGCTGAAAAAGAAGCGCCTGAATCCACCATCCAAGTGTCTAAGCGAAAGAAAGCAGTTATGATTGAGAACTCAAATTCTGATCCTGCATCCCCACCCAAGACTAAACGACGAATTCCTACCCCTACACTAGTAGAAAAACATGTTTACGTGACGGAATCTTGCCCGACAGAGCAAATTTCGTAGCGCAAACTTACTTTGCGCGACGTAAAACACAAAACGTCACGCAAACAGCCTTTGCGCGACTGCACTTTGCGCGACGAAGGTTAGCATCGCGCAAAACATCTTTGCGTGACGCAGACTTTGCACGACGAATATTGGCGTCGCTCAAAACAGCTTTGCGCGACGTACGTGCACCTACGTCGCGCAAAGTCTTTTTTTTTGTTTTTTTGTTTTTGGGTTCTTGCATTGCCTTTTTCTTTTGTTGTATCCACTTGTGTAAATGTTTTAAATTGACGATCAAATTAGTTTATTGTATTCATATAGGGTTAACAAGTGTAGCTGTAAAAAAATCATCAAAATCGGAGTTAAAATAACCGTTAAATCGTGATTTTTCGTTTATAACCGTCGAAAGTTTTGTCCCATTACTTGATCTCTGAATGTATCTTTTTTACGATTTTTGGGGTATACGATCTCGAAGCATATACAAACAAGTTTGACGGTTTAATCGTTCAAACTAGTTTTGTACAATGCGTTTCCCATCAAAATCAATGGGATATGTATTTACAAAGTACATTTTCATTTATTTATTTTCTAATTATAAGCAAAAGGACCAAAAAAAAACAAAAGACTTTGCACGACCCATCGGTACATACGTCGCACAAAATCTTTTTTTCTTTTTTTTTTTGGGTTCTTGCATTGCCTCTTTTTTTGTGGTATCCACTTGTATAAATGTTTTAAATTGATGATCGAATTGGTTCATTGTATTCATATAGGGTTAAAGAGTGTAACTGTAAAAAATCATCAAAATCGGAGTTAAAATAACCGTTAAATCGTGATTTTTCGATATAATCGTCGAAAAGTTTTGTCCCATTACTTGATCTCTGAATGTTTTTTTTTTCCGATTTTTAGCGTATGCGATCTCGAAGTATATACAAATAAGTTTGACGGTTGGATCGTTCAAACTAGTTTCGTACAATGCGTTTCCCATCAAAATCAATGGTATATGTATTTACTAAGTACATTTTCATTTATTTATTTTCTACTTATAAGCAAAAGGGCCGAAAAAAAAAAAAAAAACCTTTGCACGACGCATAGGTACCTATGTCGCGTGAACTCTTTGTTTTTTTTTTTTTTTTTTTTTTTGGGTTCTTGCATTGCCTTTTTTTTTTTTGTGGTATCCACTTGTGTAAATGTTTTAAATTGATAATCGAATTGGTTCATTGTATTCATATAGGGTTAAAGAGTGTAATTGTAAAAAATCATCAAAATCAGAGTTAAAATAACCGTTAAATCGTGATTTTTCGATTATAATCGTCAAAAAGTTTTGTCCCGTTACTTGATCTCTGAATGTTTTTTTTTTTCGATTTTTAGTGTATGCGATCTCGAAGCATATACAAATAAGTTTGACGGTTGGATCGTTCAAACTAGTTTTGTACAATGCATTTCCCATCAATTTTCTACTTATAAGCAAAAGGGCCAAAAAAAACAAAAGAAGACTTTGCGCGACGTAGGTACAACTGCGTCGTGCAAAGCCGTTTTGCACGACGCAGAGGTACATACGTCGCGCAAACTCTTTTTTTTTTTTTTTTTGTTGGGGTTCTTGCATTGGCTTTTTCTTTTGTGGTATCTACTAGTGTAAATGTTTTAAATTGACGATCGAATTAGTTCATTGTATTCATATAGGGTTAAAGAGTGTAGTTGTAAAAACTCATCAAAATCAGAGTTAAAACAACCGTTAAATTGTGATTTTTCGTTTATAGTCGTCGAAAAGGTTTGTCCCGTTACTTGATATCTGAACGTTCGTTTTTTGCGATTTTTGGTATATGCGATCTCAAAGTATATACAAACAAGTTTGACGGTTGGATTGTTGAAATTATTTTCGTACAATGCGTATCTCATCAAAACGATAGATTCCCTAACATTTAGAGTTTATTTATACTTTCATTAAGTATAACATAAAATTTTGTGGTATCCACTAGTGTAAATATATTAAATCAAATATCGAATTAGTTCATTGTATTCATATAGGGTCAAGGAGTGTAGTTTTAAAAAATCATCAAAATCAGAGTTAAAATAACCGTTAAATTATGATTTTTCGTTTATAACTGTCGAAAAGTTTTGTCCCGTTACTTGACCTCTGAATGTTTGTTTTTTGTGATTTTTGGCGTATACAATCTCGAAGTATATACAAACAAGTTTGACGGTTGGATCGTTAAAATTAGTTTCGTAGAAAACAATTTGCGCGGCGCCACATTTTCTGTAAAAATGCACTTATCCACTTGTGTAAATGTTTTAAATTGATGATCGAATTGGTTCATTGTATTCATATAGAGTTAAAGAGTGTAATTGTAAAAAATCATCAAAATCGGACTTAAAATAACCGTTAAATCGTGATTTTTCGATTATAATCGTTGAAAAGTTTTGTCCCGTTACTTGATCTCTGAATGTTTTTTTTTTCGATTTTTAGTGTATGCGATCTTGAAGCATATACAAATAAGTTTGACGGTTAGATCGTTCAAACTAGTTTCGTACAATGCGTTTCCCATCAAAATCAATGGTATATGTATTTACTAAGTACATTTTCATTTATTTATTTTTTACTTATAAGAAAAAGGGCCAAAAAAAAAGACGTTGCGCGACGTAGGTACAACTGCGTCGTGCAAAGCCGTTTTGCGTGATGCATAGGTACCTACGTCGCGCAAAGGCTTTTTTTTTTTTTTTTGGGTTCTTGCATGGCCTTTTTCTTTTGTGGTATCCACTTGTGTAAATGTTTTTAATTGATGATAGAATTAGTTTATTGTATTCATATAGGGTTAAAGAGTGTAGCTGTAAAAAATCATCAAAAGTGAAGTTAATGTAACCGTTAAATCGTGATTTTTCGTTTATAACCGTCGAAAAGTTTTGTCCCGTTACTTGATCTCTGAATGTTTTTTTATTGCGATTTTTGGCGTATGCGACCTTGAAGCATATACAAACAAGTTTGACGATTGGATCGTTGAAACTAGTTTCGTACAATGCGTTTCCCATCAAAACGATAAATTCACTAACACTTGGAATTTATTAATACTTTCATCAACTATAACATAAGATTAGTGTAAATGTTTTAAATTGGAGATCGAATTAGTTCATTGTATTGATATAGGGTTAAAGAGTGTAGCTGTAAAAGCTCATCAAAATCAGAGTTAAAACAACCGTTAAATTGTGATTTTTCGTTTATAGCCATCGAAAAGGTTTGTCCCGTTACTTGATATCTGAACGTTCGTTTTTTGCGATTTTTGGTATATACGATTTCAAAGTATATACAAACAAGTTTGACGGTTGGATTGTTGAAATTAGTTTCGTACAATGCGTATCTTATCAAAACGATAGATTCCCTAACATTTAGAATTTATTTATACTTTCATCCACTAGTGTAAATATATTAAATCGCAGATCGAATTAGTTCATTGTATTCATATAGGGTCAAGGAGTGTAGTTGTAAAAAATCATCAAAATCAGAGTTAAAATAACCGTTAAATTATGATTTTTCGTTTATAACCGTCGAAAAGTTTTGTCCTGTTACTTGACCTCTGAATGTTTGTTTTTTGTGATTTTTGGCGTATACAATCTCGAAGTATATACAAACAAGTTTGACGGTTGGATCGTTGAAATTAGTTTTGTAGTATGCGTATCCCATCAAAACGATAGATTCACTAACATTTGCAGTTTATTTATACTTTCATCAAGTATAACATAAGATTTTGTGGTATCCACTTATGTAAATATATTAAATTGAAGATCGAATTAGTTCGTTGTATTCATATAGGGTCAAGGAGTGTAGTTATAAAAAATCATCAAAATCGGAGTTAAAATAACAGTTAAATCGTGATTTTTCGTTTATAACCGTCGAAAAGTTTTGTCCCGTTACTTGATCTCTGAATGTTGTTTTTTGCAATTTTTGGCGTATGCAATCTCGAAGTATATAGAAACAAGTTTGACAGTTGGATCGTTGAAATTAGTTTCGTAGAATGCGTATCCAATCAAAACGATAGATTCCCTAACACTTGGAGTTTATTTATACTTTCATTAAGTATAACATAAGATTTTTGTGGTATCCCATCAAGTTTAATGGTATATATATTTATTAAGTAGATTTAAATTTATTTATTTTGTACGTATAACACTTAAGAAATTGAATGGTATGTATATTTACTAAGTAGCTTTAAATTTAATTATTATTGTATTTTGGGTCGGTCTTTTGTTAGAAAAATATATTATTGTAGATTTTATGTTAAAAAAATGAATTTGAAAAGAGTAAAATCACATTTTCAGTAAATTTTGAAATATTTAAAAAAAAAAAAAATACTTTCCGCGACGCCACAATGTGGTTATCGCGCAAAAAGACTTTGTGCGACGTCGAAATGTATACCTGCGTCGCGCCAGTTGCGATAATTTTGGCACTGCAATTGTAAAAATTGAGCGCTCTTTTTAAAATTTTCCTGGACAAATATTTTCGAGACCCGAACTGTCCCTCGCTCATCTCGCCCTCTCTTTCACTCGGTCTCTCTCTTCCCGTAGCCTTCCTCCTCATCCTCTCTCTCTTCCCAACCCAAACCTTAATCCTCCTCCACTCCAGCCGACTCTCATTCTCAGCTCAGCTCGCACAAGGCTTTCCCGCCCAATCGCCCATCAGTTTCTCCGACCGCCGCTCGATTTTGTTCATGTAAGTATACGATCTAATTAGATTGAGGGTAATTGCTAATTAGATTTTTTTGTTTCTGGATATGGTTGCTGTCGTTTTGATTTGATATCAGTCGTTTCGTGCTGGTTTCGCTGTTATGGTTATGAAATTAGGGTTTTTTGGGACTCGGATTGATATGGGTTGAATGAGATAATTACCATTAGATTTGATTTTTTCATGTGGGTCGGTTTTGTTTTGTTTTTTGATAGCTCCATCTGTGAGTTTCTTACCTATGGGTTTTGGTAGCGTGTTACCCTTTATAATCATTTTTCTTACAAAAATCGAAACCTAAATCACACATATTCGCCATCTCCTTCGCCGATCTGCAACTCTCTTTCGCCATCTTTCTGGCTGATGTGCAGAAACCCTTCGCTACTCTCCCAACTTCGACTTCATCTCACGGTACTCTCTCTCTCTCCCTCTCTCCCTCTCTTTCTCTGTCTTACACACACAGGGCACAGAAATATGAAATTTCCTTCAATTGTGCAAGTTTGAAAAGATGAAAGATTTAAGGTAATAGCAGATGTGATTGTTCAATGAATCTTTAGTTTGCGTTGATCAATTTAATTCATATGCATCACTTGAAATCTCAAAGAGAAGGAATTATCTATCGCTTGATTTCTGAAACAAAAAGAAAAAAAAAACTTATGTCTTGTATTGGACTTCTCTATATAGCAGTGTTGCTATTCAGTCATCGTAATACTTAGTGTTATGTTAATTACCCTAAAAAAAATTGACCCAGCACCTGATCTTACTAGGGTTTCTGTTGGGACTTTGGAATGGGTTCAAAGGTAATTACAGGGTATAATGGAATATAATAGTTTGTATCATTGCATATTTGAATGTGAATTTGCTTCTTGTAAAGGTGTAATGCTGATAGGCATTGGCCTTGGACCATTGTTAAGGGAATTTAGAATCCTATTATTGAAAATTTAGATTCATATAGGACAACATAGAGTGCTGTCTATGATCATGATGAACTATTTAGGATATAAATAACAATGTACATGGAGAAGTAATGCTTGACAGATTCGACTTACAGGAGCACTAAAATGAAGTTCTATAAGTAGCACAATTTGTAGAAAACAGAAGCAGCTTAGAGAGACTAAGAAGATCTAGGGGTACTTCAACAGATGCTTATTTCTTTCACTCCAATTTGACTGTGGCTTACAAAAGTGAGCCTTATTTTCTAAAGGTTTTTGGCATCAAAACGACTTTAAAAGAAAATCCTAGAGATTCATTAAAGATATGTAGAATCTTAGAAAACTTTTAGGGCTCATTTGGTGTTAAGGAATTGATGGTATATTGAAGGCAACCAAGGGTGCATATTTTGTTAAATTTAGGGATCTCAATTAACAGATTATTGGTTCATGGACCAATTCTAAATACTCTTGATTTTTTGCCGAACTCTAAAATGACTCCAAAAGATGGATTGACTATTTTGCTTACCATGGAAATTAATTTTGGGAACCATAGCCTATGCTGTTTGTTGCAGGTGATATCTGGTGTTAAACCGACGAAAAAGAAGTTCATAATGGAACTTCAGAAGGATCAGAACGTCGTAGCAATGGTTGGTGATGGAATTAATGATGCTGCAGCATTGGCTTCATCGCATGTTGGAATTGCCATGGGTGGTGGTGTTGGAGTTGCTAGTGAGGTGTCTTCTATTGTGCTATTGGGCAACAGACTTTCACAGGTAATTTCTTAAAAATATAACATTGTAGTAGGATTATTTGCACGAATACCTCCCGGGTTGTTTTTGAAAGCAGAAATAGGTATCAGATTCTGCGGTATTGTTTTTGGAAACCAAATTATAGAGGATTACATGCTGTCGTAGCAAAATTTTCTTTTAGACATTTACCATCCGCAACTATGAATGAATAATTGAAGAGTGTAGCGGATTTCTTTTCACCATCTATAAAAGATTATTTGAAAAATTTGCATAATGTTGATTGGTAGAGCACTGATGGAAAAAGTAGTTATCTTTTTTTTCATAGAATAAGCACTTTTGAGTAGGATATTTGATCTTCACAATTTCCTGCAGTTACTTGATGCCTTGGAGCTGAGCAGGCTAACTATGAAGACTGTGAAGCAAAATCCCGATGTCCGGTCTTCAAATCCCGATGTCAGCACTTGATCTTGCTCCACCTTTGACCTCCCAACCACTTCGCCCAGTCGATACCCAGTAGCTTGATGTATCAAACCTAGAAGACAGTTATTGTAGTTTTTTCTATTTTTGTTCGGATATCTTGTATGTACATTTTCATACGCAAAGCTTTGCGCGACGCAACCTAATTCTCGTTGCGCAAATTGTTTTTTTAATAGTATGTACATTTTCATATATTTTACAATTAAATACTTTTGCTTGGTTAATTAATTATTCTTTAGAATTTAATTACAATGTTTATCAAAAAAAAAAAAAAAAATATTTTTCACTAAAACAAAAAAAATTATTTTTCACTAAATAAAAAAAAAGGGTTTGCGCGACGCATGTCTTAGGATGTGCGTCGCGCAAAGTATATTTGCATGACGTAGAATGCACGTCGCGCAAAGTGCCTTTGCACGACGTAGGTGTGCGTCGCGTAAAGTACTTTGCACGACGTAGGCCGTGCGTCGCGCAAAGTTACTTTGCGCGACGCATGTTATTCTTCGTCACGCAAACCCTAACGGCACTGCCTTGGCACGACGGTTAGCGCGCGACGAAGGTTGCGTCGCGCAAACCCTTGCGCAACGATTTTTGACTTTGCGCGATGAATGTACGTACGTCACGCAAAGTGTTTTTTTTACTAGTGCTACTAGAAAGAGTAAGAGAACTAGAACCGTCCAAACTATCAAGTCTTCAGACCCACCTGCCCCAGTTGTTGAGGCGGGCAGAAAGAAGCAAAAATCTTCAAGTGAGTCGTGTTCCTTCTTGTTAGGCTGCTACCTTTCTTCTTTATCTAGTTACCTATGTTTGAACACAGGACCTCAAGCATCAAAGAAACTAACCATCGCCTCCAAGGATGAACCCTTAGGAGCTGCAATGTATAAAAAGGCTGAAGAATTGAGAAACCTAACCCTTAAAGAACTCGAGGTATAATCTACTTGTATGTCTGCATAATCTTTCCTGTTTTCACAAAAAAAAACCCTGAGCATGGTTTACTTGAGTCAGGCTGCAAGAAACGAAAAGCTCCATCCGCCCGAGGTTTCTTCACCACTTGCTTAAGAGACAAACCTTTCCCCCCCCGGGTTGATCCTTCGAAGGTATACTCCTTTTCTCAAACCTTAGGTAACTTTATGATTTCTGGGGGTAATGCTTGATCTTTTCTTTCTTCTGACTTCAACTAGGTCAGGGTATATGCCCCCTTGCCTAGTCAAGGTTCTCCTTTGATTTCTCCTTCTGTCATGGAGGCAACTCGATCTTCTCAATTTGATCCATCCGCGGGGATAATGTTGCACTTCGTGGATGAGGACAGTAATTTGGTGAGTAACCTTCTTCAATACAAAATCCATCAGTGGCAACAAGAACAAGTGACGAACCCATAGTTCTTGAGATTCCTGTGACTTCAGAAGCAACTACTTTGCAGGTGTTTGCTTGCCCGACAGTTACTCTTTATGAACTTCCTTCATCTCCTCAGGGTCGAACTCTGGTAAGGAGATATTTCCGTCCTGTTCTTCTCTTACCATCTGCTTACTAACCATTGCTGCCCTTCCTGGACACTTCCACGGTATTGGTGAAGGTTCAGACGTAGTTTCTTCTTCCCCCGTCAGTGGTAGGGAGTCTCCTCCTTAACCAGGAATTGGTAGTCTTCCTTGTGAAACTCCAAGGCTTAGTCAGGTATATTTCTTCCTCCCCAAACTTCCCTTCATTTTAAACTTATACTTAACAATCTGATCTTCTTTTGATCTTTACAGCAAGATCTTGAAGAAACTTCTCCTCCTCGCTTGGTTCGTAAACCAAAGCTCCCCCGACCTCATTTAAATATTGGGAGTGCCGGGATTGTTCATCCTGGAATGGAGAAGGGCGGAGAGCTAAAAAATGCCCCATCAGTAGGCGCTACTTCATTAGAGGAAAGTGGAGTACGAAGTCCCCCTCATACTTCTCTAGCTTCAAAAACTGCTAAGTTGCCCGAACTGTTTGAAAAATTCAAGCAGCTCGAGACAAGGCTGAAATCTTCGAAGCATTATTCACCTTCAGGTTTTCCAGAGCAGAAGTGAGTTTTCCAAGAATGGGCAAGGAAGGATTTCTCCGCTTCATTTAGCCTTAAGGCCCTTTATGATCTGGAAAAGGTTACGAGTGAGCTTTTCAAAGTCGGCCAACTGTAAAAAACCCAACATGATTCCTTCCTCTCTTTCTTTGAAAATCTGAGGGCTCTTCGGGACCAACATAAGAGAGCAGAAAGACAAGCCAATCGTGTAAGATGTTTCCAGGAGAAGGAATCAAGTACATCTGCTCAGGTAGACAAGTTGATGAACGATGGTTCATTAACAAAAGAAAGAATTGGAGTGGTGACCGCTGAAATCCAAAACCTAGAGGAACAATTGGTTGTTCTCAAGGCTGAGCAAGCAACTCTTCTTGACATCCTCGAAAATCAAATCGAAGAAGTGAAGAAGACAAACTCGGAATTGGAGCATTCTAGATCTCAACTTGCAAACAGCCACACTGTCCTGGCCGAACCTAGTAGGATTGTTACAATCATGCAGACATATCACTCCCGAATAATCACCCTGAGTGAAGATGTAAAATTATTAGACTAGGACCACTTGTAACCCCTCTCTTAGTGGAATGAACATGTACTTTGTCTCTTGCTTGCTTTTCTTCTGGTCCTTGTCTAAACTTTTTTTTTTCTTCGGGCAACTCTTTGCTCCATTTTCTACCTTTTCCTTTATTTGAGCTTGGGTGTGGTGACGACCTGAGATCCATCTTTTCCTTTTATCGTACCAACTGATGACACTGACTCCTCCATCTAAGCCAGATGAATCGCGTTGATAGGAGCTTCTGGGAAAGGATTGGTATCCACCATCATACTAGCTTGTGGCTTGTCAAGTAACAACTTTCCCTTCACTATAAGGTCTTGTACCCAGTCTTTGAACTGGACACAATTGGTTATAGAATGGTTGAAGGTATAGTGTAACTTGCAATACTTCTTTCCCCTCAGCTCTTCTAGTTTGGGCATCTTTTTCGTACTGTCGGGCACGATCACCCTTTCCCGCACCAGTTCTTCATAAATCTCAAGTGCTTTTGCCAGATCGAACGAATAGCTCTGGTATTTGGGAGGCTTCATCGGGACAAAGCCTCCATCGTTCATCACAATCTTCTGGTCCTTGATGGGCTGAACTAATTCTTTTACCGTCAATGGTTTGAAAGGTGTAGTCATCTCAGCAGCACACACCTCGATTTCCTCTCTATCAAGATCGCCCTCCTGCTCTGGCCCAATTTCTCCTACCTCCACATGATGAATTGTAGCTTTGTTTTTGTAGAAGGGAGGAGTTTTGGACGTATGCTTCACTTGTTGTTTTTCTAGCAATAGCTTCTCATATCTTGTGGCATCAATGACTAATTCCTGTAGCTCATTAAATTGTGTATCATAAAATCTTTTCCTCAAAGGTAATTTCAGAGCCATTTGAGCAATTGATATGAGCTGAGCTTGGTTAACAGGGAATTGGCACCTCATCCTTGTCTTCTTGAACCTCATCATGAAGTCTTCTATGGACTCATGCTCGTATTGTTTGACTTCAACCAGATCATTAATAGTCATTTCTGGTTTTATTCTGTAAAATTGTTCATGGAAAGCCATCTCCATTTGCCCCCAGTTGGCAATAGAGTTAGGGGGTAATAGAGAATACCACTGGGATGCAAGCCCTGCCAACGAATTTCCAAACAACCTTAACTTGTAGTTCGGGTTGTCTTCATATGCCACACAATGATTAGAGAACTTGAAAATGTGATCTCTAAAGAACACACTGCTGTCTTCACCCGTGAATGTTGGAAATGCAGGCATCTTGAAGTTGAGAGGAAATGGATTCTGTTCATCAATGTATTCAGGATAAGGCTTTTGATAAGTAATCCTGAATATTGGGCGAGCTCGTGGTTGAGCATTTTGAACCACTGCCCTTCTCAATTCGGCCAACTCATCCCTTAGTTGTTGAGTAGTTGTATTATTCTGGAAGAGAAGGGCAGACTCATCCTTCGGGCTTCGGTCATTGCCTATGAATGCTTCTTTCTTTGATTCAGGCTTCCTCCAGTTGGTTCCCACTCCCTTATGAGCCAATGGGGGTGGCCTATAAGGAAGAGGTTTGTCTGGGACCGCGGCGCTTTCTTTTTGGCTCGACTATCCCGTTGTTATGGGCATCCCATACTTTGTCCTTTCCTGCTCGCTTTGCTTCCTGTTATTAAATGTTAACAACGGGAAGCTAGGAAACTCTTTCCCTAGAACCGGCTCTATCACGGGTTGACTTCCTTCAGGAACTGCTTTCTTCTTTCCCCTATCCGCTTCTTCTTCTTATAGTGGAATTAGGGGAATGACTGGCTCACTTCTGATAATAACCTGGTTCATCCCACTCTCTTGAGCGCCTTTTGGAGTGGAAAACTCCAGATCCAGCCTTCTTTGTAAATTTTCTATTAAGGTACACAGTCTACTGACTTCCCCCTTGGTCTCTAAAGAGATTTTTTCCATACTTCTCAGTACTTGTATCATAGTAGCCTATAATTCCTCATTCGTTCCTTTTCCTTCCGACTTCCCAGATGAAGATGGGCTTTCTAGAACCACCTGTCCTGACGGGGAATAAGGATTTCCTGATTGCTCTGTCATTGGTAGCAAATGTTGAGAAGAACCGTTCTTCGTACTCTTTTTGCAAATCTTATGGCCTTTTTTCTTTTCTTGGACATACAAGATCCACACAAATGCAGTCCCACCGAGTGTGCCAAAACTATGTTCGTGACGGGAATTTCCATGGGGAATGCTTCCTGGCCGACGAGCACACAGCTCCCCGAGAGGTTGCCGCCGGTTGATTCTTTCTGTCGGGCTTCTGCTTTACTGGCGGGCTTGTTGGGCAAGGCTTGTCCGGCCAGGCTGAAAGAGAAGGACATAGTTAACTTTGAAAGGTGCCTTTGTGAGGCCTTAGGTGTAGGCCTTGAGGCTCACAATCAAGATTAACTTTGAATTGCTCAGGCGTGCCACTACCATCTTCAGCATGGTAGATGTAGAACGGATGTTTGAGTTTTAATTATATATATTCGAGAGACTATGTTAGTTATTAACAGGTGCCTTTGTAGGGCCTTAGGTGTAGGCCTTGAGGCTTCCCATAAATAACTAACTTAGTACTCAAACACATAAGGTT